ATTTTCAGTGCCTTGGTTAAATTTACTCCAAGATACTTTATTGAAGCTGTTCTGAATGGGATTGTTCTCTCTCATCTCAGCCTGCCTCTGCCTCCCAGGTGCTGAGATCAAAGGCACGTGCCACCACACCCAGCAACTCTCCTTTTTTATCTGATAGGAATATTTTCACCATTTAGTATAATGTTGGCTATAGATTTGTCATATGTAGCCTTTATTATGTTGAGGTATGTTGAGGTATGGTCTCTTCAGGGCTTTTATGATGAAGGGTTGTTAGATTGTTTTCTAAAGTTTTTCTGCGTCTATTGAGATGATCATGTGATTTCTACCCTCGAGTCCATTATGTGCTGCATTCCATGGAATGTAGCTGACCCTGATCACTGTCAGTGATCTTTTTGATGTGATCTTGAAATTGGTTCACAAGAATTATGTTGAAAATTTTTTTCATCTTTGTTCATCAGGGAGATTGGCCTGTAATTTTCTTTTCCGTCGTGTGTCTAAATTCACCCATTTCCTTTCAACTCTCCATTTTACTGGAATATAGGTTTTCAAAATATGTCCTTATGTTCTGAAATTTGTTGGTATCTGTTGTGAAGTCTCCCTTTTCACCTCAAATTTCATTAATTTTAGTATTCTCCCAGTTGGTTTGATCAAGAGTTTACCAACTTTTCTTTTTCTCATTACAACACTGATTGAAGTAAAACAACACAAGTTGCTACTTCACAAAAAGGAGTGTTTTTATTCTGCCCCTTCTTGATGGCTTGATGGGTCACTAGCAAAAGGCCCACTGAGTGCTTTTAAAAGGGGACATTATCGACCTTTTTCATCTTTCGAAAGAACCAACTCTTTGTTTTATTGATTGTTTTTTTTTAATTTCCATTTCATTAATTTCTTCCTTGATCTTTATTATTTCTTTCCATGTGATGATCTTGAGTTTGGTGTATTCTTGTTTTTTCAAGGCTCTAGGTTGCATTGTTAAGTTATTTTCTTGAACTCTCTCTGATCTATTTATAGAGAAAGTAGCATAGGCTGCTGAAAGGAACATGTATTCTGGAATGTTTAGATGGGATGGTCTGTGGATTTGGTAGGTCCATTCAATTTGCGGTATTATTGACCTCAGCTGCCTTTGTATGTGTTTGCCTGGATGAGCTGTCCGTGGTGTCCGTGGGTGAAAAGGGACCGTGGATGTCCTCACTTTCATTGTTTGCCTTTGTATCCATGAGTGTTTGTTTCATGAAATCAGACATGCCCGTGTTCAGTGTCTCTGCTTAGAATCGTTATGTCCTCTTGATGGATTGTTCCCTTAATCAGTACAAAGTGACCATCATCTTTCTAATTTTGCTATTTTGCCGCCGTTAGGGCAGTGACACCTTGCTCTCTCGTTCCATTGGCTTTTCTCCACGCATTCCTTTTTGTGATTGGAGAACTGAGACCATTAGTACTTGACTACTATTGAGAAGTATGTGCTAATCTCTGTCAGTTTGTTGATTTTGTGATACTCGGTGTTTTTCTAGTCTTCACTTCTTAATCTACTTTCCTAGCACGGTTTATTCTTTCTTGTACCCTCATAGATAGGTTGCTCTTTCTCTTCCCTGCATAGGGTTCCTTCAGATGTATTCTGTAGTGGTGTCTTAGTGGTCCTGAGCTCTTTAGTGTGTGTTTATCATGAGAATGTTTTCTCCTTTAATTATTAAGGTGCATAGCTTTGCTGGGTCTAGTAATCTGGGTCTTTCAGAGCTTAGAATACATCATTTCATGCTTTCCTACCGTTTAGGGCTTGTGTTGAGAAGTCTGTAATTCTGATGGGCTGGCCTCTTTGTGACATAGTGCTTCCCTGTTGCAGCTGACAGTGTTTGTTTATTCTCTCTGCTTAGTGTTTTAACTATAATGTGACATGGGACGGTTCTTTTAAGTTGTTGTCTGTTGGCATTCTAAATGCCTCTTGCATCTGGATGGCCATCTGTTTTCCTAGATTTGGAAAAACTGCTATGATTTTATTGGTTATATTATTTATGCCTTCACCCTGAAATTCTTCTTTTTTAAAGTTTTTATTTATTTTTATTTTATTTTATGTGTATGAGTATTAGGCCTGCATGAGTGTGTAAGTGCACCTGTGTCGTGCACTGCCTGTGGAGAACAGAAGAGGGCTTCAGATCCCCTAGAATTAAGAGTTACAGACGGTTGTTAGCTACCATGTTCGTGTTGGGATTTGAACCCAGATCTTCTGCAAGATCAGCCAGTGTTTTTAACCACTGAACCGTCTCTCCATCCTTACCCTAAAATTCTTCTTTGTTTGTGCTCATGACTGATGAATCTGTTCTCTTCATTGTGTCTTGTAGATCTCATATGTTCTGTTCATGCTTTCTTCAATGTTCTGATTCAGCTGTTCTGTGTTCTCTCCTAGACAGTCTTTCTTCCACTTGATCCATTTCATTGGTGAGGCTTTCTGCTGGTTTTTAAATTTGACTTAATGAGCTTCTCATTTCTAACATTTCAATTTGATTTTCCTTAATATTTCAGTCTCTTATTGATTCCTCTTTCATGTCCTATGTTTTCATGTCCTGT